AAGGTTGAGAGAACTAACGGAAAAAACTGGATTCAAGCAGAACAAGAATTAATAACATGGGACTGAATGAACTGATAAGGATGATTTTAATTTTTATGACTGCGTGTTTAAAATATTGCAGGTTCTTTAATGTTTTTTCCAGATTTAAAGAAATCTTTTCTCTTAAACTATCAACAATTTGGTAATATATACCTTTGTGAACAAAGATGAAACATTTACTTTTTCTCCCTATCTGATCCCCCAAATTCAGAAACTCTTAGTGAATATTCTTATTTTCATGTTCCTTGTAACAGGACACAATTAGAAAAATGGGCTATATTACCAAGGCTTTGACTGGAATGTGTACATAGACTCAGACATGACCAGACAGCTGCAAGAAACCACGTGGAAAAATCAAGCTGGTACTTTGCTTACAAAGTTCCAGCAAAGCAATCTTAAAAAAGAACTTATATGGTCAGTCACTATTCTTGCTGTACTTCTATAAAATTCAGGCCAAGTTTAATATAGACAAATTAGTTTTACTGTGATTATCTCTGGTTAAAAAAAATGGGATAATCATAGAGAGAAAAATTATGTTTGCACCTTTGTAGATATTAGATTCTAGTCCTGTTAATTGTCTTTGTGGTCAAAGATTCCTCTAGTTTCCTCAGATATCTGACTATGACTTACCCAATTAACATTTCCAGCTTTTGCTCACCCTTCTGATTTGGAATCACTAAGAACAAAGGCAGCCCTTGAGCCCCATTGGAAGGGACCTAACCAAGTGTTCCTGACCACTGACACTGCTGCAAAACTAAAAGGTTTTGAGCCTTGGGTGCACATCTCACAGCCAAGGAGGATTCCACCTGGCATGTGGTCCTGTACTAATGCTGGAGACCCCTGAATCAAACTGACAAGGAAGAGAAGTAGCTGGCATTGATGTAGACGGCTTCTGCCCAAGATAATGGATCAAGACTTCATACTTTAACTAAAACCTTTTCCTCTTTGCTTTCTTTCCTTTACTCTGGAATTGACCTGGAAAGATAACGCCATCATCCGTATCTCCCAGGCCATTGCTTAGAGGAGTAACCTCTCGAATTTAGAACAACTTTTTATTTCAGGTTAGGAGAAAATCTGACTGACCCTTGGCTTGAATGGGCAGCTTGCAACAACACTTGCAAATGAATCCATTAACAGTGCCACCTAAGTGGAAGTAGTCTGTGCCCTGACAGGATTTGTCTTAGTCAGTGATGGTTATTCTTCCTTGGGCCTATGAATGCCTAGATGGCTGGTATATAACCAGGCAGTACCTATTAGGTTATCTAACTGTGCCCCTAACTGTTCTAGAAAGGACCTACCAGGAGGCATTCATAATTCAGAATTGCTTCCTTTGGCAGGGTCAATTTCCCTGATTAGGAGTAAATACAAATGAGAATATGATCAGAAGCCTCTTCTTAACTCTTGAAAGTATTGCAGAATCCACTGCTAAAGCATTAGCTGCCCAGAAAAGATCCTTAGACTCTGTGGCTAGAGTTGTTCTTGATTATAGAATAGTCCTTGATTATCTTTTAGCTGAACCAGGAGGTGTCTGTACCGCGGCCAATGCCACCAATAGGACTGACATTTCAGTCACTGAGCAAACCACTTGGCTTAAAAGGGTGACTCCTTCAACCGGGTCTTTCTTTGATTGGTTTGGGTCTTGGGGACCTGACTCTGAAGTGCCTTCCAAGTACTGGGAATTATCCTTCTTATAATAATCATAATAATCCCCCTGGCGGATCATATTCTCTCAAAAGCTTTCAATTCATGTGCGCAGTTGCTAGCTGCCAGGCAAATGATCTCCTAAGACTAGAAGGTCAGAAATGAAATGAAGAGAATGACCAACTTAAAATTTATGAAAAATTTATGAACCTGGAATCATGATCTGTGGATGTTACGGGAATTAAGCAAAAAAACGTTTTGGCCGCTCTCTATCCCCCATCCCCCCAGAGGCAATCTGCATGATAAAGCCCTTGTCATTTCCTCCCCCCACACCCCCCAAAGGAAGCCTGGCCTAACAAAATCTTTTCTTTTGCTAATAGCTCCCCGACTTTCCTCCTATAAAACCTATTTTGTACAACTCCTCAGAGCACCCTTCTAGTTGCTAGATGGGATGCTGCCTGATTCATGAATTGGCCTGTTAAAGCCAATTAGATTTTCAGATTAAAAAAATAATAATCATATGGTACTGTACAAAAACAGACACATAGAACAATGGAACAGAATAGAAAGCCTGGAAATAAAGGCATGCTTACTTATATGGTCAGTTAATATACAACAAAGGAGGTAAGAATATAAAATAGGGGAAAACACTCATGCACCCCAGTGTTCATAGCAACATTATTTACAATAGCCAAGATAGGGAAGCAACCATAAGTCTCCATCAATAGATGAGTGTGTAAAGTTGTGCTATATATACAATGGAATATTACTCAGCCTTAGAAAAGAATGAAATTCTGCCATTTGCAGCAACATGGATGGACCTAGAGGGTATTATGTTCAGTGAAATAAGTCAGAAAGACAAATACTGTATGCTATCAACTATATGTGGAATATAAAGAAAAAAACAGAAGTAGACTTATACAGAGAACAAACAGATGGTTGTCAGAGGGGTGGGTGAGTGGGTTCACAGGTGAAATAGATAAAGAGGATTAACAAGTACAAACTTCCAGTTAAAAGTAAATAAGTCATGGCAAAGTGATGTACAGCATAGGGAATATAGCCAATAGTATTGTAATAACTTTGTATGGTGACAGATTGTAAGTAGAATTGTCATGGTGATCATTTTGTGATGTATAAAAATATCAGATCATGGGCTTCCCTGGTGGTGCAGTGGTTGAGAATCCGCTTGCCGTTGCAGGGGACACAGATTGGTGCCCCGGTCCGGGAAGATCCCACATGCCGTGGAGCGGCTAGGCCCGTGAGCCATGGCCGCTGAGCCTGCGCGTCCGGAGCCTGTGCTCCGCAACGGGAGAGGCCACAACAGTGAGAGGCCTGCGTACCGAAAAAAAAAAAAAAAAAAAAAATCAAATCACTATGTGATACGTCTGAAACTAATATAATTGTTTCAATTATAATTCAATTTTTTTTAAAGTGGAAGTTTTTTGTTTTTGTTTTTAGCAGCAAAGAATATAATACTTATTTAGTGTTTGCCAAGCTCATTCAACTACTTTTCCTGCTTGCTTCTGCTAGTACCTAATAAAACCGACCAAGTTACTCATACAGGGACACCTTTGATATACCTCGAACTTTAATTTTATCTTTTTTATTTTATCTTTTATTTTGTTTATTTAGCCTTCTGTCTGTTTTGTCCTTGTTTGACATTTAACTTTCTTGATCTTCCCCCACCCTTTTTTCCTTCTTTGCTTCTTAATTTATATCCTGAACTCTTCTTTGTATTTCCTGTTATTGCTTTCCTGAACCTGGAAGGCAGTATGATGTTAGACTAATTAATCTCTTTGAGCCTTAGTTTGAAGGAGAGATAATAATTTTTGTATACCTCAAAGTTACTGGTAAGCTTAAATGAGAATATCTGCAAACTGCTTAACACAGCGCTTGGGACACTTTCATAAATTATAGTTGCTATGCCCTTCCCCATCCCTCTACTGTCGTGTTGGTGATTGTACCTACGCTGATAGTCTTGTCCCTACAAGTGGGCAAGTGCTGTGGGCTCTGGGTCCTTACTAGTGGGCCTGTAATGGTTTCCTTCATATATGCTGGGCTTCTGCCAAATTGAGTTCTTTGCCTTAACATGTCTCTGCAGCTGCTCCTTTATTAGGAATGTTATTTCCAATCTAATCTTCCTTTTCCTTCAGAAAATAGCTAAAGCCCCACTCCTTTTTTCTTATCCTCAAACACTAAGAAGTTTATCTTTTTCTGAAATAGAGCCTGTCCCTTTTTTTTCTACCTTGTTATGTTTATTCATTCTCTGACTAGACTTAAAGCCTTGAGGAGAGGACCCAAGTCTCATCAATTTTTGTATCCCCTATGGAAGGTAACTGTATGAAGTGTGTATAATAGACACTTTTTATGCTTTGCTGAGTGAATGAACATGTGTCTGGGGTTAGCAGACACTTGGTCCTGTCCAAAACATCCATACGACATTTAGCCCATGCCAAAAGGTCCTTGAAATTTGGTCTTTGTCCAAATGTTCATGAGCATATTTGGTTCATGCCAAATGGTTTTGTACAGGACCAAATATCAAGGACCTTTTGGCATGGACCAAATGTCCTGCAAAGGTCCTTGGTAATGCACTCATGTGGAATATCAGGAATAAGATTAACATAAAAAATATTGCGAGATCTGTGTAGTGGTGAAGTTGTAGTTTTCAGACTATTCTCTGGAGCACTATAGTATATTGAGGTGCTTTGGGTTTGTAATTTTTATCATGGATAAACTAAGAAAGTTATTTGATTTATAGAATGTTTTTTGTAGATTCACAGCAGGAGGATGAGGGGGATAGCTAGTGAACAGGCTACACTTAACTTCCTGCAATCCAGAGCAGCTCTGGTTTCATCTTTTTTACATATTGAGCTACTACATAATATTTTATTTGAATTTAAAGTTTGAATGAAGGGTCATGATTACAAAATGTTTAAAAAATGCTCTGGTAGGGCATTCCACTGAGATGGATGTAGATACAGAAAGAAAGCAATTCTCTTGTCATAGTGCTGCCTATGAGTTCTCATAAATAAGTGTTCAAAATAAACTTTGTAGCATATGATTTAAAAAAGTGAATGGTTTTTCGTTCCCTTGCCAGCTTCCTGTTTTACTGATAACCTATTCTAATGTCTGTAAAGCTTCTTAAGGTGTCAAGCATTATGATAGCAATGAAACTTTAATCTTTAGAACCAGTAGTTTCTTTAGGTTGGGAGAGCTTTGAAAATATATTACAGTCTACTATGTTGTATTAATGGATTTAATAAAAGTTGTATGAATATGTAAGCATGTGTATTTATTATTGTTGTACATATTTTTTTCAGTTTCAGGTATGCCCCAAAAGTCTATGTGTGTCTACTCCTGGACATCGCACTGATCTTTTTCAGAGGGATCCTAAAAATGTCCTGATAACTGATTTTTTTGGAAGTGTACGGAAAGTGGAAATTACAACAGAGACTATTAGTTTGCAGCCAGATTCAGGAATCATGGAAAGCAGGTATTCATCTTAAATTATTATTTGAATAGAGTATTCTAGTCCCGTGATTTGTAAACTTTTATGTAACATTGTATTAAGAGATGAAAATTAGTATTTATAAAGAAAATCACACATTTCTACCCATTCTTTACTTTTTGTAACCCCTATGCTTTTCAGATTAATGGGCAAAAGCTCTAAATATCAGTGGGAAGCTAAGATCTTGATTAGGGTTATGTTGTAGCTCCAAAATATGTTTGTAGAAGTATGAGTTCAGGCTTGGTTTAAAAAGGACTAAAACTTACACAACAACTGACTGTCTCAGAGCCATACTTTTCTGTCAGTAGAGGTATATATGATGGTTCAGAAGACCTTCATGATGGGGCAGGTGTGTGAATGTTTCAAACATTATTAACACTCTCTAACAATGTGTAGGTTGTCACCTATTGCAGTAGAAGGTGTTAAATGACATGGCACTGAATAGGGAAGTTGGCAGCTGGGCATTTAGAGTATAATAGGGCCCTAGGAATCTGGTAGATGCAAGGCAGATAAACGTATAAAGGGGAAGTGAGTGCCAAAAGAATATAGGTGCCAAATGTATACTTCAAACTATAACACAATGCTTGCATTTTCAGAATTTCTCTGGGCTCCAGCAATCTGATTAGTTCTCTGCCACGTGTTTTGGTTCATAGAGTGGGTGGTTTGTGAGCCTGGCTCAGTCCTATCTCTGGCTTTTGCCTAGTGTTATATTCTATTAATCTTGAAAAGTTTATCTTTAGGATTTCTTTGGGGGCTCTTAGTTATTGATTAGAGAAGAGAATGAGAGAGAGAGGTATAAGCCAAGTACTCCCCTTTTGGGGAATGGACTGTGTGTGTGTGAGTAGTGAGTGTGCGTGCGCGTATGTGTGTGTGTGTGTGTGTGTGTGTGTGAGAGAGAGAGAGAGAGAGAGAGAGAGAGAGAGAGAGAGAGATTGCGAGAGACTTGTTGATTTGGGGTATGTGAATTTAGAAGTATTTATAATGTTCTGCTTGTTTTCTTTTCTGTAAACATTTTTAAAGGCACAATACTTTGTTGGGATTAAATAGTGTCTCAGTTAATAGCCACTTTCTTGAACTATATAGACATATATTTTCCTAGCCATTAAACTTTGTTATTTGGGATTGTTTAATGCTGTCTATTGGAAACTCATACTCCAGGGAACTTTTCTGGATTGTCAAACAGCGGCATATAAATTACTTTTAATTTTGAAAATTTAAAAGATTTATGATTGAGCTTGTGAATGTTTTAGAAATAAATTAAAAAACTAGCAGTAAATTATTCCTTATGAAGATTTGAAATTGATATTATTAATTATTTCCTATTATGCATATTTAAAGTGTTGGATTTTTTCTTTTTCAATTTCCTATATGTGTTGGCTTAAAAAATATTTTCTTGAGACAGCAGGTGATACCCTCAACAATATCACTTTTATTTATTATTTAAAATTTCAAATTACTTTTGTAAAATAGCTAAACTATACCTTAATACTTAGCAACTGAAATTGAAATTGAGCTACTATACGTTTTTTACCAAATTCATTTTGTAATTTCCCTTGAAGTTAAGCCTGTAAAGATACAAGATATACCTTCTCTTAATCGTCTGAATATTGCATTAATTTCCTTTAGAGATAAGGACTATCTTTATACTTCTTCTGTGTTATTTTCTATTCTATCCACTTAACACAATATTAAATATATAATAATTGTACAATAAAAATGATTCCAGTGGAATTCTACTAAGTTTTATTTTATGTTCTGGAAAGGTGAAATTTTTGTCTCATAAAGTATCTCCATGTATTATTTCGAAAGCAAAAATTGTTGGTGCTGATAATTATCTTCATTTATCTATAATCAAGGAGAAAATTATATTAAGCATCAAAGCCAGATACCAGGCACTGTTTTTTGGTTTTGTTTTTTAAGTTATTTTATATTGGAGTATAGTTGATTAACAATGTGTTAGTTTCAGGTGTACAGCAATGAGCAGACACTGTTGAATTAGAGCACCCTCTAGTGTTTATAAATAAACTTTATTTAGAACATTGCTTACAGACGGTTTCATAATTACTGATATTTGTTATCCAGTTAATTTAGGAGGATTAAGTTCCCAACATGTTCCAGGAATGGATGATAGAAATATTATCTCATTATATATAGGTGCTATTTATGTGCAAATATGAATGGCAATTGGATGTTTGTTTAGAGAAAAGTATTATATATTCTTGAGAGATCAGCTATCACAAAAAACTACTTTATTAAGGAAATTATGGGCTTGAATGTATATGTATTTTTTCAGATTTTAGGTTAAAAACATCAATACAGTTACTGTTATTAAAATTGGCAGTTAAACTTTTAAGAATACTGCTTTCTACATATATTAAGAAAATAACAACTCATTTGTCCAGATTGTCCATATTTCATATTTTGTGTATTAAACTGAAGTCAGATATGATGGAGAGCATTAGTACATAAAGTTGACTGAAGTAGCTGTATGAAATAATTGGTGTTTTGTATGTCTTCTGACATATACATATTATATGAGTAAGGTACAGTCATATAAATACTTATATTGAGTAAGGTCATATCCTTACAGTCATATCCTTAGTAACAACAGTTGTTTCAGTGTATGTTTTACTTACTGTGTTTTTAATTTATTTACAAGAACAAATGAGGTAAAATAAGGACTGATAGCAATAAGCTTGGCTTATATAACTTAATTCTAAACTGCTTTATCTGAGAGTATATAGGTTCACTTTTGATAAATATGCAAACAGCCTGCCCTCAAAGAGTTGGACTTTCTGGAATGTAGTAATAAGTCCATGTCAGCGTTACTCAAGAGTACCAGAGTACCCTAACTATTGATACGTAGGGAAAATAGCGTTTAGCTTGAGAATGTAAAAATACAGGCACCAAAATGTAGAAGTGTAAATTCTGTAGGCATTACCTAAGAAAAAAATGGAATCTGGGGCAATATGAACTGTAAATGCTCAACTTTTGTCTTCGTTGTTAGATGACATCTTACCTAGTCTGACTTTTGCTTTAGGCTCTAAATTGAGGCACTTGATTCTATCTATTTTTTTGTTGTAATTTTATTCTGTTATACTAGAATTTCTTTCTCTCTTTAGGCAGTCTTTAGCAACTGAAAATTTTGAATCTAGCAGGAAATTTGAGGCTGGACTCTTTTCTTACAGATTTCTTATAGATAGAGGGGTGAAAATAGGCTAACAAGGTCAGTCTGTGTTTTGAACACCACAGTAGGACTCTTTCAAGACCTCGGTAAGGAAGTCCCCACCTTATATAGGAGGTCAAAGATCAGACAGTTGTTGTCACAGAGATTAGATTTTGAGCCTTTTCCATGTGCTTCATGCTTTATATAACATATTATCTAGGACGGTTGGATTGTAAATAGTAGACTCCAACCTAAGCTAGCATTATTTCCTTAAAGATATTTATATATAGGTATTCTGTGTTTTATGGAACCCAAGGGCAGGCCTCAGTAAGGGACTGGAATCAGGAACCAGAAATCAGTCAGAAATGTGGGCAGTACTCCCTCTGTCTCCCTGTTCAGGTCTTTTCTTTCTCTGCTGCTCTGAATGTAGGGGATAGAATGTGTGCACACTACTCTTCTGGAAATTTATATCTGTTCTGGAGATTTATATCTGTTCTGTTCATGATAAAGCCCAGATACAGAATTAACTTGCTCATTCTCCATTTTAAGCTCCCCAGAGGGCTTCTTGATTAGCCCAGCTTGAGTACTGACCCAGCTGGGCAGTAGTGGGGTCATTTAACACAAAGTCATAGCTACTGGGGGGCCCATCCCATGTGGATAAGAGGAACCCTCCAAAAGGAAATTGGGAGCTATGCAGATACCCTCAAGGAAAAATTACATTAATCCCATTTAATTCACATAATTGCTTTATGAGGCAGGTGTAATTTTCCCATTAAATAGATGAGTAAAGTGAGGCTGAGAAAGGTTTAAGAAACCTGCCTAAAGTCCACATCTAACAAATGGTGAAATCAAGATATGAATCCAGGAATGCTTCCTACCTCTCAAAAATGTATATATTATTTTATTGTTTTATAATTTACGCTGAGTTGCTTTCTTTTAAAAGGATATAAAATATACATGATAGCACAATGAATTATCAGAAAGCAACTACTCAGGTAACCAGCAGAGAAAGAATTAGAACAATGTTGGTACCCTGGAAGGTTCCCCAACCCTTACACCCCTTCTCAATCTCTACCCTCTCACTCCCCCTCAAAGTTAACAGTGATCCTGTCTCTTATGGAGTTTACTTTCTTGCTCTTCATCTTAGTTACATCACCTAAACGTGTATCCCTAAACGTTATGTTTTGTTGCTCTTGCTAGTACTATGTTTTTGGAATTCATTTACGTTGTTGTATGCAGCCGTGGTTCTTTTTTTTTTTTTTTTTTTTTTTTTTTTTAAAATTTTTAATTTTTAGTATATAGTTCTGAGCTTTGACAAATGCATACACTTGGATCATCACCATTGCTAATCCATCACTACAAAAATTTTCCTTATGCTCCCTTTTCTCCAATCTCTCCCTCATATCCCACTGATCTGTTTTCTGTCCCCACAATTTTGTGTTTTCCAGAATGTCATATAGATAGAATCGTATATTCTGTACTCTTTTGAGTCTGGCTTTTTTTACTGCCATAATGCATGTCAGATTCATATCTGTTGTCACATGTATCAGTAGTTGGTTCTCTTTTATTGCCGTGTTGGAGGACATTTGTTTTTGTCCCCTAGTTTTTGACAATTAAATGAAGCCACTATAAATGCATACAAATATAAGTTTTCATTTCACTTGAGTAAATATAGCTAAGAGTAGGTTTGCTGGGTCACATGGTAGTGCATGTTTAACTTTATAAGAAACTTCCAAACTATTTGCCATAGTCACTGTACCATTTACATTTCCACAAATAATTGTTCCACATCCTTAATTACACTTGGTATTGTCTTTTT